TGTCGCGGCTTTGTCGGGGGTTGTCTTGTCGTGGGTTTGCAGTGGTTTCTCCGGGGTTTGTCACGGGTCAGTCGGGGGTTACTCGTTAGCTGTGATTTTGGTTTGTCACATACCAAGCATTGTCGCGGGTGGGTTTGGCACGGGTAGGTCGAAGCTTTGTCGTGGCTTTGTGTCCGTCGGGGCTGTTGCCGTCAGTCGTCGCGGAGAGAGGGGGGGAGGGAGGGGGTTGTTGCGGGTTTGTCTGGGGTGTGTCGCGTTCCTTTGCGCTGCTGGAAAGTTCAAAGCATTTCGTTACCATAGTGCACTGCATTATGAGTTTGTAGTAGACAATATGCAGCATATCATACAAAGCCGTATGTGTGTGTGTATGTGTGTGTGCGTATACATACATATATATATATATGTATGTATGTATGTATGTATGCATACGCGTGTCGGTATGCATACATATGTCTTGTGAGTCACATCTAAAATAAATGAACAATTATGCAAACGCAAACATGTATGCATACAAAAATCTATGGGTGTACGTATGTACGTGTCTATTATGTGTGTGCGAGTACATATGTGAATACATATCTGTATATGTATATACACATTTATAGATACATATATACATTTGTATATACATATATACATTTGTATATACATATATACAGATATGTATATATATATATATACACATCTATATGTACACATATACATATACACATATACGTATATATGAACCTCAACCGCGACAACTCTGACCACGAAGGCTCAGATTCGCACCTTCCTGGCCATAAAGAGCTTCAAGCCTGGGACCTAACTGGCTTGAAGGTTTGATTTGTCAGATTTCAAGAGTTGAGGATGGAGGGTTTGAGTGTTCATCTTCAGCTCTACTTGGCTGTAGACCCCTAACCCTGCATTGCGGGCATTGTCGCGGAAGGCCGTGAAAATGTGTTACATGGAGGGAGGTTCGTGAAGTGTTCGGAAGTTCTTGTGAAAGTAGTCGACTTGGAAGATGTATGGGTATGGGTGGTGGTCTGTTGCATTGCGAGGCACGAGAAGATAACTGCTCCAACGCGGTAACCTTGCCTCACTGTCAGGCCGATGCGTGACCATCGGCGTTTCTTGAACCAGAAAGCCACCAGGAGTTTTGGGAATTCGGGATTGAGGCTATTTGCATGACTGTTGATCACGGCCAAATACACCTCTCCAGGCAGAAACGTCATCCCAAACCTTCTTGAATGATTATGAAAGAAAGCGCTTCGTAAGTCCCGTGGCAACCCTCGGTTGGGTGTCCAAGCGGAGACAACCACAGAAAGAAGCTGAAACAGAAACCTCAAGAATGATATAGGAGCCCCAACAATTACCTATACTATTTTGGTACCTTTGTACCATGTACCCAAAGCACACTTCTGATTATCAAGGCCCCTGTATGAACAGCTTCTTGTGGAGGATCCAGCGCACTGCCCGGCGCTTCCTCTCGCGGATACACGAGATAAGGGCCCCGCCCTTTGCAGAGTGCACGCGGGAGTTGGAAGTTTTTTTGCTTTTGTTTCCCCGAGAGCTGCACTAATCAACTTCCTAGAAGAGATGCCTGTCAGGCTTCAACAATGATGGGCGGGCCTGGTGGGTCTACTATATGGGAACAGGGATATAAGAGGGTGTTCAGTGCGTGGCGGGGGACACGACCAGCATGTTTGTGGCTTCTTATCGTTGCCAGCTACTCCCTGAATACCCGGTGCAATGCTTCACTTGCCACACTCTTCATGCCCCACATCTCGCACAGGATAGATGGCAATTCCGTCCAGGGTAGACTGTAGTTTGGCAGGGTGTTGGAGGCTTTGCCGCAACTTGAAAATATGGGAGTTGGATTTGGGAGGGCAGCCGGGCTCAGACGATTGTTGTTTCATCATTCCGCAGCAACAAGGCCCCTCTTGCCTAACTCTCCGCTCCGATTTGCCCACGGACGTGTGCAGGCGCGTCGCATGGCCAGAGTCTATGCGGCCGTGCGCATTCAGCTTCGGGCTCGGATGCAGTGTGCAGTCCTAACTTTGGAAGGTGCGTTATCATTATCACGGCTGAGCTGGGCAGATAGCATGGTAAAAGCCTTCCAGTGACAGTGAGGCTGATAGCATGCTGCTCGGTGAGGCTGATAGTGTGCTGCTCCTGCAAACTTTTCCGAAACAAATAATTTCCGTATCTCACATCCAAACCGCCAGGCAGTTAAGCCGCTGCTGCAGTGCTTAACTTTACTGATGTAAGAAGTAGTATGTGATAGCAAAATCCGTCAAGATCCGACTCGTTTCATTCCATGAAATTCGAGTGGCGCGAGCAAGCTGCGCACCAGTGACGCATGGTGTCAACTGGTAGACAGATGTTGTTATAAGTCTGGATGATTCGAGTTCATACTTGTTTGAAAAGTACCTGCCCTCCGGACAGTACCTCGACAGATTTGTACTCATTATCTCGTGCTGCTGCGATTTCCGCGCACCGACTGGAAGCCTACTGTGTCTTCTTGCCAGTGTACTCACAGAGTAGGTGGCCCTTGGGCACTCTCTTAGCCAAGAGAGGGCCCCTCAGCTTCAACAGACATGCAAGGCCCTCAAGACTAAGTCCTTCATAAACCTTCCATGACCTACACAGCGAGCTTGTAACCTGTGCTCAAGGCAATGAACTATGCTAGCAGTCTATGGTTGGCAGCATTAGTATGTTTTCCGGGCCTGTTGGTCTACTAGTCGAGTATTTGCCGTGGAAATGTTGCGCACCACGGCCCCCAGGTGCATCGCGCGAGCGATGGCTGCAAGGAAGATTTGTGCCTTGGAAGAAGTTTTCGGCTGATTGGCTGGCGGAGCTAGAAGTAAGGTCCAGTAGAGTCTTCTACAGGTTTCGTTACTTTGGGGAGGAGATGAGCCTCGGGCATGCAGGTATTTGGGTCTGAGGGTTTCCTGACTTCTGGCTCATGGGGTTTGCTGTTTGTGGGTTGATGCTGGTGAACGTTTGACATATCGTGCCTGGGGTTCAGGGTGAGCCTTGGCATCGTTTACAGTCTGCAAAGCTTCGTGGTCTGTCCAGGTTACTGTTTGGCGTGCGATCCTTCTTGCATTCAATCCCTATACCTTTGGCGTTTCTGGATTCGAAGCAGCTTCGATCAGCTTCACGTATCTTGATGAGGGTGCAGGTAATGAAGGTTTGCCTGGCTTGACGGGTGGGGGGAGGGAGGGAGGAAGAGCTTCGGCTGCGGCAAGTATCCTGCAGACTCTCAACCCTGAACCAGAAGATGCTGGGAATCGTCGGCTTCGCGTGTTCGGGCCGCGTGACGTGGTCCTCGTAGTCTGAGTTCGAAGGCAGAGTGGAGATGCACGGTTCCTCAGCCAAAACGTCCACATGTCGGACCCCGAATCCCGAACCACTGCCCTTCTGATTGACGGTGTTGCGGATGTTTAGGCCTTTTGGTTTCATGTGTTTTCAGACCACGACACCCCGCTGTGCTGCAGACGCGCAAAAGAAGAATGACAAGCACGGCTTCGTGAACATGAGAAAGGCCGGACCTTTCGGAATTTCCAAGGGGCCGCCCAACATTGGATCCCAGGTTATATCACCTGTGTGAGCTCGCCCATAGTGAGCGCTTTCAGTGTGGCTCTTGTTTTTTCTTGTGGTCTTGTCCAGCATGCCCAAGAGCACTGGGCCACTGTGAAAAGCCAGCAGCATGTTGCATCGTCCTGGCTCCTAGCTCCATTTATCAGACGTTCATTTTCTTTCATGCACGGCAGCGGCCCTGCAGCTCCAGCAAGCCGTCAAGCCTGGACTCCCCCAAACTGCAGAGCACGACATCGGATTCTCTTTCATTGTGGTATACACGGCCCTGAACAGCGACTGCCCTACGACCCAAGACGCAAACCCACCTAGGCCCAGATTCGGACCGTGAGCACAAAGTTTCAAAGCCACAAATCCCCTGTGCCAGGTTGTGCTGAAAATTCAGCCAGCCCCTCAGTGATGTGCGGAAGGAATCAACACCTGAAGCACTGGAAGGTCGCCTTTGTGTATTGCGACTGTGTGCTATCCACAGCCCTGGACCGTTAGAATATATCTGACCTATCAGTAGAGAAGGTAACCTTTAACTTTTTCTGGGTAGTATAGTCCTTGTGTATTCCGTATATAACCAAAAAGGTTACTTGTTTGGTTCAGAGTACAAAGTTTAATCGAGGGGAGGTTGGTTGGCTCTCCGACTCAGGGTCTAGCACACATCCCGAATTGCCTGAGGTGCCATGTGCGCAAGTGGCTGGCCTTTAGATGCGCCAGCAACTCAAGAACCGTGTGGGTCGAGGAGACTTCGGGAGACTTCGCAGGGTAGTTCTTCGCAGCTGAGTGGATACACTTTACACTTTTGGGATGAACTCAGCAACTAAGAGGCTTTCAGCTGCTGACTGCCTCGAGCTTCCCGACTCTCGACTGCCGAAACCCTAGCGCCCCAAGAGCCCTTAACTCGACAACAACTACTACGCCTTTGGTGTCGACGGTGAGTAGTGGAGCGTTGCCTGGTGGCGTTCAAGTTTGCGGAGGCTTTCAGGCTGAATGTTGTGAAAGCTGGCTACGGTTGTGTCGTCTTAGTGTAACTGCAGTCTGAGATGCTCGAGTTGTCGTGAACCCTTGCCTTCTTGCGGCTTGCAAACTGTAAGCCTGGCCTGAAAGCTCCCCATGAGATGGGAGCAGCATCCTAAGTTTCTTCTAGCGGGCTCCTACTCTCAGGTCCGAGATCTTCGGCGGGTGCTCGGGGTCCCAGATGGCAGTGGGACAGCCGGGTTCAATGGCGTCACAGGGTTTTGGTGTTTGTCCCTGAGTTTGGGGCAGCCAGAGAATGGGCCGATCTTTTCCTAAGGAGAGGATGGTGCCGCGAATCACATATAGGGGCTGACGAAGCTTGTAGTCAAAGCGCCTACAGTAATTAGTCGGAAGGGTTTGGGCCTTCGAAACTTCGGTTCTTACTGCAGCTGGTGGCGCAAGGGTCCAGAAGCATGAGGCTTCCGATCAATAGGAAGCCACAGGCATTCGTCGGATGTCTTCTCTTTGGTTTCCTGGCCCTCCTATCCTATGGCTTGTGTGTCGTGCGCCAGCCACCCGCTTGGTGGAAGGCCGGGCATCGCCGGCAGCGTCCAGGAAGCGTCGCAGAGGCTGAGCTCCTCTCGCACCTGGCGGTGCTTCTGCAGCCAGAGGAGCCTATCGAAGAGCTGTTCCGAGACTTTCCGGTGGAGCCGAGCCAGGGATGGGGGAGAAACAAATTGAGTCCAGATCTGACGGTCTACGGCGCTTTCCAGACAAAAGAAGCGGCTCTTTTTTTGGAGTACGATGGATACTACCGCCATCTCTCGCCAGAAGGGATAGCAGCTGACAGCCGCAAGAACAAAGCACTCCTTGACTTTGCGCCAGCTGGATCGCACGTGTTACGCATCGCCCATGCCCATCGGGGATTGGAGCTTTCCTGCGAGATGGGAGAAGTTGTTGTCGACGTATGGCAGCGGGGCCACGAAGCGTCGTTGATCAAGGCCCTCCGTAAAGTCGTCACAGTCTTGGAGAAACAACTGGGAAGTGCATTTCGGCCTGATCTACGAGCAAAGTTGCAGGCCTTTGCGGGGACTCCTGGCAGTATCGGTCGGCACGAAGCAGTGGAGTTTACGAAACAAACAGAAACGAACCGAGGGCTTGAGTTCGATCCGTTGCCTCTGCATCAGTTTCTGCAGTCGCAGCTGGCTTTGTCGTCTTCGCAGGCGGAAGCACTGCTGGGAAAATGCCCTGCTCTGGCACGCTGCCACATTAAAAACAAACTTCAGCCAACGATGCAGTTCCTCGAAGACTTGGGCCTCGAAAAGGCTCAGGTGGCCAAAGTGCTTCTTCGATGTCCGCAAGTTTTGGGCTACAGCGTCGGAGAGAACTTGAAGCCCACGGTCCGTTGGCTTCGAGACCTGGGAGTGTCCAAAGCTGAGGTGGCCAAAGTGATTGCTCGATCTCCACAAGTTTTGGGCTACAGCATCGGAGAGAACTTGAAGCCGACAGTCCAGTGGCTTCGAGACCTGGGAGTGTCGAAAGCTGAGGTGGCCAAAGTGATTGCTCGATCTCCGCAAGTTTTGGGCTACAGCATCGGAGAGAACTTGAAGCCGACGGTCCAGTGGCTTCGAGACCTGGGAGTGTCGAAAGCTGAGGTGGCCAAAGTGATTGCTCGATCTCCGCAAGTTTTGGGCTACAGCATCGGAGAGAACTTGAAGCCGACAGTCCAGTGGCTTCGAGACCTGGGAGTGTCGAAAGCTGAGGTGGCCAAAGTGATTGCTCGATCTCCGCAAGTTTTGGGCTGCAGCATCGGAGAGAACTTGAAGCCCACGGCCCAGTGGCTTCGAGACCTGGGAGTGTCGAAAGCTGAGGTGGCCAAAGTGATTCCTCGATGTCCGCAAGTTTTAGGCTGCAGCATCGAAGGCAACTTGAAGCCCACGGTCCGTTGGCTTCGAGACCTGGGAGTGTCCAAAGTCCAGGTGACCAAAGTGATTGCCCGATTTCCTGCAGTTTTGGGCTGCAGCATCGGAGAGAACTTGAAGCCCACGGCCCAGTGGCTTCGAGACCTGGGAGTGTCGAAACCTGAGGTGGCCAAAGTGATTCTTCGATGTCCGGCAGTTTTGGGCTGCAGCCTCGAAGAGAACTTGAAGCCCACGGTCCGTTGGCTTCGAGACCTGGGAGTGTCGAAAGCTGAGGTGGCCAAAGTGATTGCTCGATCTCCGCAAGTTTTGGGCTGCAGCCTCGAAGAGAACTTGAAGCCGACAGTCCAGTGGCTTCGAGACCTGGGAGTGTCGAAAGCTGAGGTGGCCAAAGTGATTGCTCGATTTCCGCAAGTTTTGGGCTACAGCATCGGAGAGAACTTGAAGCCGACAGTCCAGTGGCTTCGAGATATGGGAGTGTCGAAAGCTGAGGTGGCCAAAGTAATTGCTCGACTTCCGCAATTTTTGGGCTGCAGCATCGAAGGCAACTTGAAGCCCACTGTCCAGTGGCTTTGGGAGCTGGGATTGTCCAAAGTCCAGGTGACCAAAGTGATTGCTCGATTTCCTGCAGTTTTGGGCTACAGCATCGAAGAAAACTTAAAGCCAACAGTCCAGTGGCTCCGAGACATGGGTTTGTCGAAAGCTGAAGTTGCCAAAGTGATATTCAGCTGGCCGGCGATTCTGTCACTAAGCATCGAAACCAATTTGAAGCCCAAGGCACGTCAGTTGTTGGAGTGGTTTCCCTCTCAGCATGTTCGCAGGCTGCTTCTCCGCAATCCGTATATGTTTGGCCGAAGTCTGACACGCTGGCTTCGCCGATCGGAGGTTCTCAAGCAATGCAAGAAGCTTGCCGTGTTTGGGTCCGCAGTGACATTGACAGATGCTGCTTTTGACTCGAGATACGTCAGTAAGCGGGAAGAGCTGGGCGAAAAGTAACAGCCGGGACAACCGCAGGCTGTAGATGGGTTTGCTTGGAGCAGTCATCAGTCATGCCCAACCTTCTACTCGCAAGAGAAGCTTGCAGCATTCAACTTTTGGATTTTGGGGTGTTCATGTTCTTGTTTTGCACGGGTTCACGGCAAGTAGGGGTTGGAAGTTACACTTTACCCGACACCGGGCAGCGACACATATTCACTTCCTGCGGAGTGTCCTCTGCATGGGAGTGGAAGTGTTCGTGTTCGAAACCAAGTTGTCCACTTCCGATGTCGGAGACTAAGATGTAACTATGCAAATCTTCGGCTTGCGAGCCACGTTAATAATTTGAGCTGCTTTCGGACTTGGAGAGCTTGTACTTGTGGTTGCTTGTTCTGGGTATGTCGAGTTTCGGCGCGTTCAGACTTTGGTTTCCGGCACTGGTTGGATGCCGTTTTAAAGCATGCGAGATTCTGAGAAATTTCCGGATTCCAGACCTAAGCGTCAGAAGTCGGCTAATGGAAACAAAGTTGCATGATTGAACCCAGGCCAACGGTAAATCCGTCTTGAACTCCCGAAGCAGTGTTCTAGCCTGCAGTGGGTTCCAAACAGGTCTTGTGTAGGCAACGGCCTGTGTGCTTTCAAAACCCCCACTGACCTAAACCTGGGACCCTTCACGAGGACTTCAAGACCTGGAACCCGAAGCAAAGTCCCGAAGTCCCGCGGCTACAGGGGTTGAGGAGATGTCAACATGATATGCCACCTTGGTATTAACGCAGTGTAAAGTCGTAAACTCTTACATCCAAACCTGAGCCGAAGCCAAAACCTCTTATGCTGCATGTGATAGACGCGTCTTGCATCATGGCTTTGCGATCGTAAGTCCTTGACAGAAATACTGCGAATTGCCGGGCACTAGCTGACAGCCTTGATGCTATCAACACCCATCCTAGCAGAAGTTGCGTCGATTTGCCATAAGCGATGTGCGCTCAGGAAGTACAGTTCCTCCGTAGTGATGCTGCAGAGGCAGGCGAAGGCCTTGCCAATCACTGCTCAACTCGCTGGGTTTGGAGGTTGCGCGTTCAGGCCTGAAGCTGATCACTGTAAGTCTTCTCTGCCGCGGCTTCGGAAGCATACAGTGCTTCTGACGGTGAGTCCTCGGTTTTGCTTCGGCAAGCCCGCACGCTTTCTTTGCACAAAGCCGTAGGTTCAACCTGCATGTTACTCATTGCTGATTTTGTGTTTTCCAGCTGTCAGGTCCCAGATGTCAGATCTGAGGGCTGAGAGCGTCAGGTTGCTCTGGTCGGCGTCGCTACACGTTTGCCTGAAACTTATGTTGCCCAGCTAACCTCATTTTGAAATACTAGACTGCGGTGCTCTTCAGCCCCGGGCCTCCACTTTCGCTTTTCCCTTTTCAGTCCGCTTTGCAGTAGCGAAGGCGCCGCGAGGCTTCAGCGATACAGGGACCAGATGACCTTCCCACGTTGCATGCAGAGAAGAGCCCTATGAATGCTTCCTACTTTCATTGCAGGTGTATCCTTCCGTCAGGGTTCCAGCCCGGGCTGAGGGCTAATCTTTCTGATTCGGATCTAAAGTTGTGGCATTAAAGGTGTACTAAGATGCTGCTTCCGAAGCCGGTAAGCGATATGCTGGCCAAGAGCCCCATCAAGCACTGCAAATCGAATTCATGAAGTATCAGCAATAACGCTCAACAAGTACAAAACTGAACTGATGCCGCTGACCTTGGCCACACGGAGGGACCTCATGAAGTCTGTACATTGTATAGTCTGCAGGTGCACCAGGCTCGGACGCAGCTCAACCAAGCACTTCGCGAAGTGGAGCCCGTGCGCTGTGTGTGAGCCGTACTCCATATGGGTGCTGTCATGCTGGCGACGCCCTTATAATTCACAATGCACACTTGGTAGCAGTTGGGTGATGGTTGCCGTGCATCGTAGGTACAGCTTGTCTTTCACCTCACCCGCGGAGAGAAGGCTTGGCCAGCTTGTTGCTCCTTGGGCGGATACGAGTCGCAAAGAAAGGGACCCTGATCCCCAAGAATAGTCTCCATGATCCACTCCCCCCTGCCCTACCAACAACCAGACAAAAAAAGAGGGGCACTCGTGAAGGTTCTGAAGTGCAAGCCCATGTTTGGAAGGGCAGCAAGATCCTGCCCTACGTGTGGAAACTTGGCATGCTGCCTATCGCCGAGGAGCCTTTTGAACTGGAGCTAGGGGTATTTTGCATAGGGTTGCGCTGTAAAGGCATAGCAGGCATAGCATGTAGGGAAAGGTAGGTAGGCAGGTAGGTAGGTAGAGGTACAGTTAGGTCGAGGTAGCCAGAGGCAGGTAGGTAGGCAGGTAGGATCTCCGGAGTGGTCTGCCGTGCTTTCGATGACAGGGTGATAAGAAGGCCTGCATGCTAGTGGCGAATGCTGAGAACGATTGCGAATGGGAGGATTCTCACTAGGCAGTTGCGACATCGATGTTACCATGGGCAGTACTGCAATGATTACAGTGACCAGTATCGGTATTGCATTTTTTGATCGTCATCTTTAAAATACCGCGGTCAATGTTTTGTTTCTTGTCAGCAACATCTTCCGTCCTTAATGCCAGCACGATGGCAAATGCTACAAGTCTGAAGTCTAAAGTAGCACCGGTATGCTGAGCTTAAGGGTTTCATTCGTGAACTATTGCTTTACGAGTTCCCTGTTTGGAGGAGTTTTAATCAAGTTGCAGGGCGTGCGCTGGGGGTGAGGATTTCGACTCCATGGCGAACGCTTTGACTCACCACCTCAACCCGACTAAGTAGGGACAAGGGCCTTAATAACTAGATTAGGCTTTTGGGGCCTATTTTCTATAAATAGAATAAGGAACCGCCTAAAATAGTATTGGTAATGACTAAGGCCCGACATTAAGTATTTGACGGGATTCCGCTTCAACATGCCCATGCCAAAGCAACAAATCCGAGAAAGGTCTACAACTTGAAGGACGGCTCCTACAATCTAAACAAAAGATTTCTGAGCTCCATCCCTAGTACATTGATGCCCCGAACTTGAAATCCCGACTGCCGCTTGACAGTCCATTTCAACCATGAGCCCTAAACCTACTGAACAAGCTTGCTCTGAGACCTGCAAGGCTGCCATGCGGAGAAAGAGCGATTGCACTTTAAAAGCAACCTACTGAACACTTACACAATCCCAGCACCTCAGCGGAGGATGGGAAGTATGTCAGCCCAGAGGTGCGCACACGATTCGGTTTCGTTCGCTTCCGAGCTGCGTGCGGCAGAAGTGAATGGAAACATTGCGCGGCTGCATCCACAAAGGCATCCAGGTATCATCATTGTAGAACTGTGGACACTGACAACCTTGAACAAGTTTCCAGTCATGGGCATAGCAGCCTCGGATCTTTAACTTCAAGTGCTTCGGGTGTCCAGGAATTCACGGAATGGCTGTGCGGAAACGCCGCGCAAAATCAAGTTACAGCTCCATACAATCTAGGAAGAAGGTCTGCTGATGTGTTTAGTGTAATTTCTCTCTCAGTGTTTAAGTGTTTCACGTCGGTCTGAGTTTGGCTGTGGGCCTGGTCCAGATGTTGTTCGGGCATTCGGAGAACCTGGATGTGGCAGTTTCCGGTTGTTGGGAGCTTCGGTTTCAAGGCTTTGGGCTTGGTTGGGGGCTCTCGATGTATGTGTGCAATGCACATCTTATTGTTCGCTGCGGAAACCTTTAAGCCGCAATGCTATGTGGAAATCAGACCCTCAACCCTAAACCCTGAACCCAAGTCCCTAGCAACGCGAGAACGAGCAAAACCCAAGCCCTACTCCCCTCGTAGGGCATTACAACGATCTTGACATGCATGTATGCGTCGCCAGGTGTGGAGGCTGCGACAAGAGATGGAGAAGCGGAAGCGCGAAAAGAGCCTGTCCAAGAAGAAGGAACCCGACGAGGACACATGTTCTAACCAATATTGCGGTTGTATCGGTTGTCGTCTTCCTGCCAGGTTTAGAAGAAGAGTGAAGCTGAAGTACCATATTTACGCCCGTGACAGCACATGCATTCGAAGCACACTGCATCCGCTGCTCCCTGACTGTGAGGACGAGCCCAAGGAACCGCAGGGGGTCCGAGACAGCCGATTGTAGTTTGGGGTGGCGGGTGCTTGGAACTTTTCAGAAGTTAGCATTCAACTAACACCCTTGCCTCAAACCGCCAAAGGCACGGGGTTAGAACAACACCATTGGACAGACCAGAGATCGAGCTGACGGTCGGTGTCATGACGAAGACGTCTCTAGTTGTCACAAGAACCTCACAACAGTGCTCCCTCCTAAACAGCGCGTTGATTATGATCATAGACGTGCTTGAAGTTCCCTGAACCCTCAACGCCAAAGGCTTGAGTCCCGAGTAACGTACTTAGCCCCCTCTAGGACCCTTTATAGTCCGATGTCCCCCATTAACTTGACAGTGTCCCCTTGTCAAAAGTAAGTCTACTTAGTACTCGTTATAGGAACCCTTCCTTTCTAACAACCCCGATGGAAACCTCAAGGTATCCGTCGTTGCATTGCTGCATCTCTGGCCAAGGCCAAGATCCATCGACCTCTTCTCCAAGGCGAGCATGGTGCGAATTGCAGGGGCTGCGTAGTAGCTGATCTCAATGGTTAGCCGGTAGCAGCCCCAAGATACTGCACGAGCTAGTCTATGATGTTTGCGACTGGGTTGAGGGTCCAAGTTGAGGGTCAAAGAATATTGAGTAAGTGGGTTTCCTTTTGGGATACTAACAATCAAACCCTTACATTAGAACAGCATTTCCCGGTGGCAATAGTCTTCATGGGATCTTTAATGGTCTTTACTGATGGCGAGCTTCGCTTCTAGTTCTGACGCATGGCCCCCAGCATCCACAGGCACGGACATAACTCCGCAAGCAGAGTCCCTCAAGATCCCGACATCCCTTTTGCCATTCATTCCTAAATCGCAGAGGTTGGCATGGAGTCGCTGTCCGACGCAGCCGCCTGTGTCATTCAGCAGACGTTCTATGCCCTGCAGAGCATGGTGCCCAAGTACTTGTGGGGCTTCAAGGATTTCGGGTTTTAACGGCCTTCCTGCACTCAACGGTCTAGGCAATTCACGTTAACGTGGGCTTGTTTGCGCATGTTGGTGTCAGGGCTTGGAACGGTTGATTCGGGAGCATCATGGCTCAAGGTGTAAGCGTCAGGTACAGTGGTTCATGGCTTCGAGGTGTGCGGGAGCCGGGTCGCTGGGTGCAGTTTTTAGGATATCGGGCTTCAGCCTGGGTTGCTCGAAACATAGGAGGGGTACGATGCAATGGAAGTTGAGATTGAAGCAACCCCCAACCCAGACATCCCTGACATGATCGTAGCTTACCGAAAGAGCCTTCCAACATCTAGGGCGAAGGCTTTTTCGTTCAGAACAGCTTCTCTCACAAGCTTCTTTGTCTCTTCCGTCCTGTGCTCAAGCAATTCAGGTGGGCAGCGCTGCAGGCAGCTTGGTGTTGGGTTCAGGGCCTCTGAGGGCGTTGCAGAAGTGGTTCGCGCTCCGAGACTGTTTAGTCCAGAGGGCCAAAATTAAAATTCAGTTTGAATGTTGCATAACGATGGCAGCCTAACTATTAGGTATTAGTTTTGAGCTGTTGGGAGTACCTTGTCGCAGGTGCTCCCACTTGATCTCGTACCATCCGGGGATTAGGGTTTAGGGGTTAAGTCTTGCAGAAGCTATGCATCGATATAGGGACCGGATTCGGTAGAAATTATGCCACAATATTGTCCTCATAGAAAGTGCAATAAAATAATCGGATTCACCCCAAAACCTGTTGTTCAGAACCCTACATCAGGAGTCCAGGTGTTGGCTTTGACCTTCCTTTCACACAATGATAGCGATCTTTTCGTCAGACGAGGTGTCCTGGTGCTTCCGGTTGCCCGAAACGGTCGCGAGTAGAACATTGAATCCAAAAGCCCTGAGTCACCAAAGTCAAAGTCCCGAACTGTTGCTTGTGTTCTGAAACTCATTCCTGTAAGTTTAGGGCGATACATAGTATGGCTTTGGGGTCTGAGTCACTCAAGCCCACGATTGAAAGGCTTGGCATGTGGAGAGTGCGGAGCCCAAAAGGCCTCCGAAAGGCCTCCTAACGGTTGATGATATAAATCCTCCATGACCCATTATAAGGAATATGCCATTATTTCCATAGTTTAGGGTCCTTAAGGTCATGCAGGATTTTGTCCATCAACAGAAGCACACAATTGCCCCGGGTTTAGGGTGACGGTGGAGGACACTGCAGAGAGACCCCATCTGCAACGCAGGCAAGCGATGGGATGTGCAAAGACCCTCGTGGCCGAAATTGTGAACACTGCGGGGTGGCTGAGAGGGTATCTGAAACTCGGGACTCTCCTGTGGCATTGTCCACGATGTGGGTAGTTGTCAAAATTATGGTCCCTTTTTTGGGTATCCTAAATATTAGGTGCCGTATTATCATGGGGACCATAATTTTGACAACCACCCATGTGGTTCTACGTTTTCAATTCTCATCATACCCATTGAATATTCGGCGAGGCTCTTCCAGCATTGCAGGACTCAGGCAGTGGGGATTTCAAAGAATTGGAAGGAACACCACTTCTTTGGGGCGGCTTGGTTATATGAGTAAGTTACAGCAAGCTGCAGTGGCTAGGAAAAGAACGAATCACTATGATTACTATCATTACTGTTCTTACAAGGTTTAGGAAGTGCTCAAGGCTCTGCCGCTTGAACCTGACCAGCAAACAGGGCTCTACAAGTTTTCAGGTTTTGTGCGCAAGGTTTAGCGTTGAACCCACCTGGTGAAGGGTTCGATATTCCTTGGCAGGCATATAAGACTGTGTTTCCAACCTGGTTTGTCCTTGCGACCCCTGTCAGACATCTCGGTTCAAAACGCAGCCGGGCTGTTTGCGACATTCTCTCACCCTGCAGAGGCTCCTCTGAGAGGACGATGTGTGTTCCTGGTTCGAGTGCGAGCATGACGCAGCTCTAATGTATATTTCTTTCGGGAAGCCCTGCTTATAGCCGCTTATAGTACGATGTCGACCGAAATCTTGGTACGATGTGTTCACACGGTTTTTTATCGCTTGAAAATAACAGGAAGACAGAGCGAGAATTCAAAACTCACTAGGGGAGTCAGGAAAAAGAACAAGAAGCAGAAAAAGTTGACAATTATGGTCATCAGACGCGGAATGAAACCAAGAGATCTTAGCAGGACCCCTCTGCCAGCTGCTGCGCGCCCTGGCTGCATGCATGTACTTCGGGATTGGGGAGAATGCAGAAATACTTTGCTACCCCCCGCCCCGCGACCTTCCTCACATCTCCTGAAACTTGTTCCTGTCTCGTCTTGGTTCTATTGCTAGTACTAGAGTACCATTACTTAAGCTACTGACATGTTTATACTAGTGGTGTCACTGTTCTTGTTGCCATGGCTAGCTATCATGGCTATTCTTCTCATTGAACTTCCTGTGTGCAGGGTGTACCAACCCGGGCACTTGGGTCAAGTTTCCTGGCTTCAGGTGCAGGGAGGCTCCAAGAAGTATGCTTGTCTTAACTCAAACTCGAACCTATCTAGCACTTGAGCAGGTGACCTGTGACTTTCTGGACGATACATAAACCCTACCAGCCTTATCCCCTATAACATAGTACCCTTATAGATCCCTTATAGATCGCTTATAGTAACCCTTATAGATCCCTTATAGCAACCCTTATAGTATCCTGTAAAGCCTTAGCCCCTCGTCTGCAGACTGGTCGTCACATGCCCTTCCTGGATTGTCCAAGTGCGAGCGCCGAAACCCTAAGCCCGAGCCAGTCTCGTCTTCAGACCGTGTGTACTTGGAGGTTCTTGGCGAGTTATAAGTGGAGTTATAAGTCCCCTAATATGTGTTATAAGTATAGTTACCCTACTTATAACCCTACTTATAACTACCCATGAACCCTCCAAGTAAGTGTGAAAAAAGAGCAAGGTAGTCACGGCGGCACCTCCGCCCCCCGACGTCCACGCCTTGTTGGCGTCCGTCTATGCCACGGCGGCTGAGGCAGAGCCCACTTGTCAAAAAGTAGGACCCCTTTTATGGAGGTTCCGTTTGGGGTTTAAGTAGGGCCGGCTGCGGCATAGGATTTTAGGGTGAAGGTTTCAGATCTTGCGTTGATCTCGGTTCTTTGTTAAGGATTTGAAGTTTGCTTACCAAACCATAGGGATACATGACAGATGAGATGCTTGCCCCCTGGTAGTGTAACTTACACAAAGAATCGGATAGCAAGCCGTGGTTCCGTGGCGGAGTCGTGGCGAGGAAGCGCAGTGCTAGGAGCATCGCCTGCCTTTGTCTGGTCGTCGCCAAAATGAGTTGCCGTCGAAAGGCACGACATGGGCACGATATTGGTGAGTTGTAATTTGCGACAGCCTTTACCCAATGCTGCTGCCTCAAGCAGACACTGACGTGGGACTCTGACCAATGAAGGGGAGGACCATTGGCAAGGGCCATTCTGGGACCCGAAAACCTCAAGCCTTTAGCCTCAGCCCGTTGAGTTCACTGGTCATTGATGCTCCACAGCTTCTGGTGGTACTTGATGCCCTGCGCTGCACACTCCTGAGCCCCTAATCTTCTTGAGCTCGAACCCTAAACCCTACCTTAGCCTGCGATTGTGCGAGTGTGCGAGTCGAAACCTTACCTTAACCCACCAAAGCCTACTTTAAAAAGAAGTAGGGTTTGGTAGGTTAGGTACACACTCCTCAAGCCGCAGCCCTCCTATTCGCTCCAGAACGTCACACCCCGCGGGCCGCCACCACCGCGGCCACGAATAACGGGCGTTGCGGACCGCGGATTTGGGCGAGGCCCCGGTTTACAGGGGATCTACCTTAATTGGGGGTTATAAGTAATTATAAGTATAGTTGCCTTAGTTATAACCCTAGTTACTAAGTCCCATGATCCTCTAAGTAGTAGTAGAGTAGGTAGCCTTGAGCCTACGGTTGATGATGTATACTTGCACTACCTTAAGGACCCTTGAACTATGGGAATTATGGTATACTCCTCATTATAGTAGTAGTATAGTAGTAGAGTAGGTAGCCTTTAACTTTTTTTGGGGTAGTATAATCCCTATATAGCCGAAAAGGTTAACCTTTAGTTACCCGTGATGCCCGACAAGTAGGTTTACTATAGAAGCCTTAATGGGAGTTGCCGAAAATTAGGGGTACCTTATCTTGGGGTCCTTATACTAAGGATCCTACTATTTAGGGTACTATATCAGGGTCCCCTATGTTCCGAAACTGCCAAATAACTACCAATATGATTCCTGAGGGTTCTCTTATTACATTTTTACAAAAAAGGAGCTCAAAACCCTGTTAGAATTATTAAGGCCCCTACATTGGACAACTATGTGGGTTTTTATTTTTAGGGGTTGAGGGCTTCATTAATCAGTGGAGGGGTGGTCCAGTGAGACAAGGGGTTCAGGGTTGACAATAGTCTAGGGTTGAGGAGAGGTACGGATCAGGGCTCAGCCTGTTGGGACCCTGAGGAGCATATTGAAATGGAAAAGTTAAAGACTTGACTGCTTCCGTAGTACTTTGTCGTTCTTGTAATACGGTTCTAGTCAAAGTGGTAGCCACAGTTATCTGCAAGTCCAGTCAAGTATGAACCTGAGACAACCGCATATCTAGTACACTAGCTTTGCGGTACCATTGCTGAGACACTTCTTGACGGCGTGATACCCATGCCAGGCCGGCTCTATGACAACATCGTTGAGACAGCGGCTTTGCACAACAGCTCAGCCTATCCCGACCACCAACTCAAACCCTCATCATCATCCACACAACCTCAATAGTTGGGGGATGTTGGGGTCCTGCAGAACAGACCTCTACCTCAAAGCATAGAGCCTGAAACCCTAACTTCGAGGCCTCAAGCCTCTAACCGTCGGAGTGCATGCTTTCGGGCTGCAGGGGTGTCATCGTAGCCTTAGTAATTCGTAGCCTAATCCCACCGTAGCAACAGTAGAACCTCGGCTATACATGGAGGCGCCTGGGTGAGTCACATGCTGCTTGCTGCTACATCTTTGCTAAATGAGCTAGAGCCGGCTGAACGGTAATTCCTTCCCGCTATCCGGTAAAGCCAAGAGATAATTGATCAGCAGACTGCTCAGCATTGAGAGCTTGGGGCCCTATACCTGCAGGAACCGCAATGTCCGGTTTATGCCCTGCAGCCCTGAGCGCGACAGACCCTCAGGGCATGAGTAGGAAAATGTCACTCCACGTCCCGAACTCTTAAACCCGAGACCCGAAGCACGCCACCTCAGCAAGCGTTTCGAACCTGTATCCCAGAACCCTATAACCCTCTCCCAAGAGCTCTCGCAGCCCTGAAAGAAAGCCGTATGAAGCCCTTACACGTCAAGCTCGAAGCCGACGGCTGGCCGATTTCAGAGGTCGGCAACACCCCTTGTGTGAAGCTCTCAGACCGGATATGTCCTGCCGGACGTGCCTGGGCTCCGATTTTTCGGTGTTAGAGAGAGAACCGGGTTTGACATTGAGGCGAAGTCCGGATGAATAAGGGTTTAGGATGTTAAAGGATTTACGGTTTAGAGAGACCAGAATGTTGTTGGGCGAGGGGGGCGAATAGTGAGATCATCGTCATCATAATCATCATCATCATGGTTATGGTTATGACGTTGCAAATCGCCTGCCCCTCCGCAAAAAGCCGCCGGACGCTGTAATTCCTCAGCTCGTGGCGAAAATCCACCCCGCGAAGTTTGAATCCTCTCGCCCTCCAAACCATAAACCTGAAACCCTGGCCCGTAGCCTCTATGCACTAGGAAATACTGCAATGCTTGGGAGTTTCAGAATTTCTAGGGTCGTGGTAGTACTGACTTTGTTCCTGATGCACGAAACGGCCCCAACAGAGGTTAAAAGCGTTTTATTGGGCTGTTGGGCATGAGGCATGTGTGCGTAGAAGCCTGATGCCCCAAACCACAGGAGCCAAAGAGGCCTATATAGAACCCTAAGCCCAGAAACACCCTAAACCCTGCACCCCACCGAGGCACGATCTACGCGAAGTTAGAGTATTTCAACCCGCTCGGATCCGTCAAGGATAGCCTGGCTGAGTTCAAAGTTTAGGGTTCTTTTAGGAGTTCCTGTAGAGTTGCTTCAGGGGTCTGAGGGGGTCGGGGTTTCGGGGGAGAAGATTTGAAGTCCCGAATATTGCGGGCAGCGCAAATCGCTCGACACCATGAATATATATGCCATGTGATATGGGAGTCTCCGAAAAGTAGGGGTGCCTTATTTTGTGGTCCTTATAATAAGGATCCTACTCTTTAGGGTCCTATTTTAGGGTCCCCTATTGTCGGAAACT